CATACGCCGTGTGTGGGGCCTGAAACAACCATGCTCCGGCCTGCAGCAAATAATCATTTTCATAAGACCTACTTCCGTTTGGGAACCCTGTGCTACTTTCCCGCCAAACAAGTACCTCAATCAAAGCTACAACACCCCCTTTGAAAAAATCCTGGATCCGCCCCTGAATTCGCTCRTATTAGTAARCTCACTTTCTTATGTCCAATTAAAACGAATATTTCTTGCAGTGTAATGTAATGAAGGGAATTTTTTTTCCTCTAAAATAATTATTTAAATTGGGCTCCCTGTGCCTAGGACAATACTTTAAATGAGGGGCATTTTCGAATTCCCGGATTTTATAATCACAAGCACTTTCAATTTCATCTAGCTTACATTTTCAATAATACATAGTGGTTTGGCCGGGCGGGGTAGCCGGTTAACCATGGGGCAGCGGGAAAACGTATCAAAATGAAAATGTCGCAAATGCATCCTACGATATTTATATTTAAAGCTTGAGTAAACATTGAGCATTTCTTTGTCACTATTTGAGCAAAGCATTATTCAATGGGAGATAGCGTGCGCATGGAGCAACTCAGCCCAAGTTCATTTTTTCACTGATTTCTTTGCATGTCACTGATGTTACAGTAACTGAATGAAATTTCGAGACTTTTTTGTCTATACGTTTTATTTGTAGAGTTCTTCTTGTGGAAGGGACGGCGGAGCACTTTTGAAAGTGGTCATGGGGGCCAATCAGTCTGCTCAGTTCTTTATTACGGAACTCAAACTAGAGAAAATAGGTGGTCAGATTCTTGACAAAAAAATAGGGGAGAGGGGGGCTTATCCCTGCGACTCGGAATAGGAATACAGCAAACTGAGTGACGAAAATCACTGGATTCATTGTTTACACTCCAACACAGCATTGTAATGATTTAAACCGTGTCCCGACTTTATTGGGGGAGGGGGGGGGGGGAGAGAAAGACGAGAGTTACATCTTTAACTTTATCTTAAATAGTTCAAGAATTCTTTTTTATAACACGAATTGATATTTTTTTTATTAATGCATTTTTGTCCTTTATAATTAATTCTCTACTTTTACACAGCCTATTATGCTTTGCTTTCTGGGGGTAACCGAATCGAAAAACTGTTCCCAAAATGATTTTTTTTTCAATGAATATACACTATTCCTGTTATCTTTTTAAAGAATACTGATTATAAGATTCCGAGTTAATTTTACGCGTGCAGAACATCAAGAGGTTTGGTGTTACAGAAAATGTATCGACTTACAAAGATACGTTAAAAATTTAATTTAAACTTCATCAAGCCTTCATCTCCGTTTTTTAAATGTTTCATTATATGGATATCAAACTGGTATTTTAAGCACCCTGGATCAGCCTTCAGCAAAGCATGCAAGTGCAATTTTTCCCTCGATCTGGTTACTCTCCAGTGCCGCAAAGTATTTTGGGTATGGGAAAGTAGAGAATGCATGTCATTACGTCGTTCGTTGATAGAGAAATGTAAGGCACTTTCTCGTCAAGCTACAAGATTAAAAAGATACGAAGAAAAAAGCTCATTCCTATATGTGGAATTTTTTTGGTATTTTCCTGTTTAATAGCATCAAAGATGCTACTATGTGAGTAAAAGCYGAGTGTAGTCAGTTCCTGTTAACATTTTATCCATTTCCCTTATACACCTATTTCAAAAAACCTTGTCGGTCGGGGATCTGAAATCTGAGACCGAAAGGAATTGTGGGTTATAAGCTGTGAATTGTTTGTGGTTTTAATTAGTGGTTCGCAAAAAGTTATATCTTGATATACTAACTTCGAGCGATGACCTGCGCTGGCAAACTGTCTGGGTAAGTGCATATTGCTTTTTTARCAAGAAAACAGGCAGTCCCCCACAAATCCAATCGGTGTCAGATTTCTGATTTCAGATATTCGACAAACGTTTTTTGAAATAGGTATATACATACATCTACATTTATTTCCATATAGTTTTAACGATATAGTAGGTTAATCACAGTTCATCCCCTTTAAACGTTATCTGTTTTAGTGACCTCTGTCATATTCTACTCGTTCTACTCATTACCTATTATCTACAAATGCAATAATACGAGTAGGATAATCAGTGGATAACCTTCTATACTGACCGTGGTTATGATTGCTTAGTAGAGCCTATATATTTAGGCTAGGTTAGTTTAGAGTAGATTTAGGGTACTAGTGTACAAATTTTTTCCYATCTATGCATCTATTTACAAAAAAAGTATATTGAAGTTTCAATCCAATTAATTATCGCTATATTGTAAGGTCTCGTAAAAATCCCGTTGRGAATGAGACTACGAAAATCAAAAATGTGCTGTACGCCATGGCTGCTCTGGTGCTTAGTGCCTCTGAGAAGACCATTCATTTTCTGTGTGACTTAATAACTCATCAATTGTCGCCCTGATGTCGTTATTATGCTTACGTAACAGCTGCTCGTTCAGTCGACGATCGGCAAATCCCATCTCAATTAAACGAGACATTAGATCGTTCCCAGGTGCGCGGGAAACAAGAGGTGGAGGTGGGGCATCCTGTGGTGAGACGACAATCAACGTTAGATGAAATAGCCTGTTAATTACCCCGAGTTAGGTCTTAGGGTATCAATGGGGGCAGTTYATCAATTTAATTTTTTTTTTTGTTGTTTCCAAGTTAAGTCACCGCAGTCACGTTGGTGGTGATTTGGGTTTTTATTATAAACAATATGGCCATCAAAAATTCTCGATTGTMATTGGTCTGCTTCTTGTGGATTCCTTTAAATCACTGTGCAAAAAAGGAGAAAAAAATCAAAGCATCTTTGATCTAAAATATTTTGGTCATATTATTATTATTATYGAAGGGAAAAAACCCCTAGTGCAGTGTAAAATCAAGATTTTCAAACCGCACGTGAACCCCTTCGATTTCCTATAAAATACCACCGCCAACATGGCCACCATGTCTTTTGACTCTCTTGGGAATAGTTTCAAACCATCAATACTTACAAAGCAAGAGGTGTTAGATCGTCTGTCTATTGTGACGTTACAGTTTTCTTCTGGCTCGTAAGTAGCCGATGCCTGAACAGCGCCATYGATAAAATTGTCCACTGTAGCAATGGCAACTTTTCCTGCATTAGTAACAACATCAATCGCAGAAGAAATGACTCCAGAGACTACGTTAGCAGGCACTGGGTTGTCGCCAATACTAGTTCTTCCATCATCAAAATGAGTCCTGTCCGCAACTGTCAGAGGATGTGGAACAGTTTCTTCTGGAGTAATATGAGGATGTCTTGATACTGGGGTTTGTGTTGATGTCTGGACTGAATGCTCGATTGGCGAGATACGTCCACTCGGGGTTTCTTCCCCTTGGTCAGCGTCAACATCAGGGGCAAGCACCGGTGGGCTTTGTACCTTTGTGGGCTCGTTGCTATTCCTTGCCATGTTCTCAAAGCTCGCTATTGAACTGGACATAATGGGCAAGCTAGAGGGTTCATTGGTATCATCGAGGTTCAAGTACTGTTCAAAAGATTCCGGAAGGAGCTTGGAACTGAAGCTGCTGCTTCGTTTGGATAACTCAACCTTCAYGGGCATGGGGTCTGCGGAAAGAGGGACGTCTGGGTGGAAACAAGGTGGAATAAGGACCGTGAATTCATCCAGGGAGGAAACGCTGTCTTCTTCATCATCTGAATCTACGAGGAGACAAAACACGAAAATCTCCTTTCATTCCTTGGATTATTTTGGAGTGCAATTTCGTGCACTAAATTATTTGGAAAGGACAGAATTTGATTAAAGTTACGGACACACGGTGCAACATTGCTCGAAATCCATTTTGCGAGCCACGTAATACGACGCAGTTTGTTGCACGCAATGTTTCTGAAGAAGAAAGCAATCCTATCTCAGGACCATTGTCTGCAATATTCCGTGCGATGTTGCACCGTGTGTCTACGCCTTTAGCTTGATTGGTCAAATTCAGTATCATTTAAATTTCTCCAACCACTAAAAAAAWATATATCTTTTGTTCAGTAGCCAACAGAGCTCTGATGTGTACGATGATGTAATAAGATGACTTTACTCCAAATATTTGTTTTTTAGGGACTATCTGTATATCACATTACTTTTGTACCTTCACTGTAGTTGGATCTGGCCATGTCCTCAGCACCAGAAAAACTGATCAGATTGAAAGATTCCTCATTATCAGCTGATGCGTCCAAAACCTCAACATCACATACACATCCAGCATCCCACTCCAGGTCCAGACGTTGTTGAGCTTCCATTGAGCTTACGTTGATTAGCTCTCTGCCTTGCTGTGTTTCTGGTATTTCTTCAGAGCTGAGGTACTCAGAACCAGAACCATCGTCCTCGATAAGATATGATGCTTGTAGCTTTGTATCTTCAACCAGAGCAACACTTGGTACTGGTGGAGCCTCGTTGTCGAAAACAGAATTGACGAGGGTCGTTTGATCATATTGGGCTGGTTYTTCTTTATCTAGAAAGGACCATTTCAAGTTTAGCTTGTGAATACAATTTATATATTTAYGGACTGTGTACTGAAAGTTGTTTAAATAATTCTCTTTCTCCTTCTCTTTATCCACCTTCAACCATTCCTGTCCCTCGGGATAAAAATTTGTAGCAACATTACAAGGTATTTTCTGCATATGATGCTTTATATTTTCTTATACCATACCTGCATTGCTTGGTGTTGCTACTTGYATCTCACACCACAAGTGAGGACCAAACGTGTGTAACCCGTAGGTGAGATGCCATTTGCTGTAAAAGGAAGTGGAAAAATAGATGACGGTAAAGGTCATTTAGGCGAATAGTGCCGATTGTTCTAAGAAATAAAACCCTTATTGCCGGTTCAAAGCCTTTGGTCCTTGCAATGACTGGTTCAACCATTTCATTCAAGGTAAAGAAATCTGATTGAATAACGTGTAAAAAAGGTATTTCATTTGGGTGGAATATAGCATACGTTACACCCGTGGTATTTAAAAGACATTATTGGACATGCGTTTAAAAGGGGGCACAAATGAGAGGGAGACCCATGTGTATCTCAATGTATAAGAATTCAATTGTTCCTGCATTTAAAACTATCTGGAATAAGTTCTTGGTAATCATAATTCAATTCGTATTCATGCGTGACAAATAACTGTTCCTGCATCTAACATGCTTGCCATGACATTATTAATAATGTAAACCTCCTATTTGCAAAATATGAGTACAATTCGGCTGGAACCTGTACCTGGAAAAAGTTCCTGGTAGTTCTGGTGCAATGAATTCAACCGATACTTCTCCCTGTTCCCCTGGCATAAGGTGTGGGACACGACCTTGATCTTTTCCTGGTGTAACCATGATGTCTCCTTCGATGCACTCCAACTGTTGTGGAATGGAATAAAAAAGTAAAGACTCCTAGCACCCAAAACTGCATGTAACACTCTCATTGTTCTAACAATAAAATCATAAAAAAACCTGCTTCTCCATTTTTAATTTTGATTCTTCTTTTTGGGGGGGGGAGGGGAGGGGGTATTCTGTCAATGAAATGTAAGCTAACCAGTTGCTTATTATTGCTCATTCTCTGTCTTATGCAGAACGTTTTTTTTTTTTTTGGTTGACAGCACATGGCGATCAGTGTTTGACCCCCATTTGGAGTAAATAATAAATGTTAAGCCCAGCAATTAGAAAAAAGAAGCACTGATATTTTGGCTCAGATGCAATATTAAAGTATACCTTAAAAAATTTACTAATTGCACTTAAAACATTTTTGAAGACATACTTCTGAACTGGATAGAATCATTTAAATTGAACAAACCTTGATCCATTGGTTCCAGGCAATTGTGCCAGTATTCTGAATGACCCATGTTTTGAGAAACTGAAAGAGATATACCATATGTAAGCGTATGATACACTGTCAGAGCATATACATCAAGGCATTCCTACATTATTCAATATGACAACCTATTTACATAGCACAGAGTTATTGTCAGTAGTGATTTTACTATACCCCATGAAACACAAAATTACTGGTTAGTGCACAATAGTCAAATAGTGATTTGTGTCACCAAAAAGAAAATTAGTAAAGTATAACTTCAAATACGACAGGAAAGCAAATTTGAAACCGTATAAAACACGGTCTTTATGATTACAGTTTGTTTCTTCCAGACAACAATATTATCAGGCTGACACTGTTATATCTTATCACCGTGTTGCTATGCAACAGCACGTTTATATTGGACAACAAAGGTGCCTGCATGCAGTCTTCTAAACCGAGTGAGCTCATGGATATTTGTCCAATTTATAGCAATTCTATTGTTTAGATTGCCACTTTTGATCAGCTAATTTGTAGAAAATTTGTTCAGGTGGAGTTGGTTGGAGTAGTTTCACTGTAAATACTCAGCAACAGAATTTACCTTTTGTCCTGGAAAGACGACACTGCCATCTGGGAAGCTAACATCATGAACATACTCCATTTTGAGCTTCTCATACCTTTTGAGATATTAACAATAAGACAAAATTAGCAATGTGAATATTTTTGATTTTTAAAAATCATAATTGTGAGTAACCAAGAAATAGTTTCCTTGGCAAAAACTGTAAAAGAACAAACTTACACTTTAGCCATTTTCTGTGCTCTTGGGTCAGTYGGTTGTTGTTCAGACTTCCTTGTTTCTTTCTTTTCTTTTCTCTCCTCTCTTTTCCTTTCTTTTTCCTGTGCCTTTATGGCTTGTTTTAACTGTTTATCTGCTGCTTTTTTCTCKGCCTTTTTCAGCTTTTTGTCATGGGGTTTCTTGTACACAGAGCTCTTAAAGATAGGGACCATTTCACCATGCCTGCGTCCTATTCCTGGTGCTGGGAGTTTCAACTTCAAGAAGACATGGTCCATGTCATGATTACCATTCTTGGACTCACATGGTTCACAAAGATCAAAATCTCGGCAATTGCTGCAAAGTACCCAAGGACAACTGATTATATCACATGTATTTCCCTTAATCAGTTTGAACATYGATTTAGTAAATTTAATTAGTCAATGTATGAGTATTAACTAAAGATATAGATAATTTAGCTTGAGCAATGACATTTTCTTATTCGATATTATTTGCACCCACGTTCAACAATTACTCTGCAGATTTTTTGTGAGCTCAAAATATTGAACAATCAATGTGTTATGTTAATATTTAACTACACCACAGAAACTGTTTGGGTCACCCATCACCAARAAGTTCTGTAACAGAAACGATACTAAGGTGTTTATTTTTTGTAAGAAAAATAATGCTTCATGAAAAATAAATCACATCTTTAGAAACAATACTATGACCTTGAAGTATAACTACATTTTTAATGCTCTATCAACAGATAATTACAAGCACGTTCAAGAGTTTTTACTCTTGTCTGAAGGAATTACTCTGACTATTTTATTTTATATTTATTGTCAGGCCTTGCTAGGACCTTGAAAGGGGAGGTTTTTTTATTTTATCCTTTTGTTAATTAATGAATTTACTTGTGTGACATTATACATGATCATTGAGAAATTTAAAATCAAGTGAAGAACTAACTTACCAGCACTTGTATCTGATACCTTGGATTTCATTCTCACAATTATCACATGTTATTCCTCTGTGCAACACTGAAAATGCACAAAGAGTTTTATTGAGATTGTGACCCTATTTCTATCTTAGTTATAAGATACAACTTTTAGACTTGGCCAAATAGATTCTAACTAAAAAAGCAAAAATGTCAAAAAAGCTAGACAATATGAAAGTGAATTCTTGAAGCTTCAGAGTCTTTGTTTGTGTAAAATTAAAGCAAATCAGGAAAGGACTACTATACCCTATAAACAAAATCTTATTCCACCTTGTGAAAAGGCAGACGGGAGTGACAAACCCAGGTTGCCTTGGTGAGAGGTGAGCACTCTCACTGCTATACCACCCATGCTTCCTATTATTACAGAAGTAAATTTATGGTAATGTGTCATTCTCAGTCTAAYAGCGCAGCGCACTGATTTTAAAAATAGCTTGAAGATTCRGACAAACATCCCCTACGAAGATTTTACGAACCGATTTYATTATTTTTACTTAAAGTTACAATAATAACCCATGTAAACTAAGATCAACTGCGATTGGCTGTGAAAATTATCTGCTGAAAGAAAACTTGTAAGTTTGTTTGTCCGAATTTCGCCTTTGTCTTCRTTTTTATAACATCACGACTGCGCTGCGCTATTTATCCATAATTTWTAATTTTYATCCTTTCATTATAAWATTAACAAAGTTGCTGCAGTAACCTTTAGATATCTCGTCAACGTCAGTGGATGAAGAAGCCTCATCACTTGAAACTTGTTTTGATGGGTTCAGGGCCAACTGTTGCAAACGCTGTGCAGTTTTTTCCACAATGAAGTCCATGGACTAAAAAATGAACTACTGTGAGCCAAATTCTCAGTCAATAACTTAAGGGATATAAAACTTGTGAGCATGTCTATGTACTGTGAAATAAACACTCTGGGAGCTAGAGGCTTAGAGCACAAGAGAAGAAAGCTTAGGAACACAAGGTGTAGGCAAGTGTTTCTCTTGCTTTTTGAGTGCTCTACAGCTCACAGTACAGAGACGTAAGCMAGCTGTTTTATGTTGCTTTAATTATTAAAATATTTGTCCATGAATTTGTGCAGCCGCCTCTCTCCTCTGATATAAGCACAGTAGCTAGCCAATCAGCATGCACGTTATATCTCAAATATTTTATAAATATAACCAATTATATATATAGTATAGAAGCTGTGCACCATCACATAAATGGCAGCCATGRCAGAAGGCACAACAATAGAGCCTTTTTCCCCAGGAAAACTGAATTCTTTCTCACTGAATCAAWTTWWAAAAAATTAATTGTTCCTGTCTCCTGTCATGGCTGCCATCACATGACTGTGCAAAGACACTAGGTCTAACCTATCTTACCTCAGTTATACCTAAAGTTATACTGCCTAAGGTGAATGCTATAAAATTAAATTAAGTATTTCTTTGCTTTTTTCTTTAACATTCTTATTTCACATCCAATTCATCATACAAAACATTGTCTAGTACAATTCTCTACATGTACAATGTACATGTCATTCCATCATTTTTACTGGCTTTATTGAAATAATAAATATGATATCACCTCTATGATTTAAAATATTAATATCTCAATAAAACTCTTTTTTTGTGACAAGCTGGCACATGTTGATYGACACACAACCAACTATTCGCCAATCATTAGCTGTCTGTCAGCCAATGGAGTGTTGGTGAAGTGTCAACTGATAAGAAGCCAAGGCACCCTAAGACCCTCTTGCAGAATGACTGAATACTGCTTAATTTGGAGGACACAACAATAAGTTTTCAATTCTCAGGAGATTGAAATTCTTTTGTTTTGTCCTTCAAATTGAGCTGCTTTGATGTCACATGCAAGGGCTCTTGGACAACAATTGACTGATCAGTATTAATCAAAAATGTGTTGGAAGGTAACATTCTTAATTGTGACTTACTCTATCAAGTACTTCCTTCACAACTACATTGATGTCTTTCTTTTCAGCAACATTTTCCTTCATTCCCCTGTCATCTCCACTAGATCCAAGATCCACTTGTTGTTCTGGTAGCTGGGAGCTGTGACCAAGTGCGCCATCTTCCACAACATCATCTGGCAAACCTTCTCTAGAATTGTCATCAACCACCTCTGTCTGCTGAGTTTCCATTGAGGTTGGTGACAGTGATGGCTGTCCGTCTTGGGAGTTCACAAAAACAAATGGCTCAAAGGAAGACTCATTTGAAGGAGAGTCTTCTGGAGTCAGATCTTCAGAATCATCATTTAGGGAAACAGTTTCCTGAGAATCCTGCTGTTGTTGCTGTTGCTCTTTCAATCTGTCATTCATAGCATGATAGAGAGGTGCTATATCAAGAGCAGCCTGTGCATAACAACCTTTCTTCTTGCCACGCCTCTTAGGGCACCTTGGCCTCTTAAACTTCCTCTGTTGTCCATCCTGGATTGTTTGCTGTTGATTAAGATCTGGGGAACTATTCAAACTTCCTCCAGAAATCTTTGGAGGTGGACTGAAAACAGACACATTTGAGGTGGGTTCGCTTGGTTCACTAATATCTGTGTCATCAGTTTCACTTGCAAGAGCTTCTCTGGTCTTCTTTTGGGGCACTTTGACATTAAGGGTTGCAAGCTGTGGTGCCACAGCACTGGCAAGTTCACTATAACAGCTCCCTTTCTTCTTTCTATTCTTCTTGGTTTTGCCATTACCATAGTTGGATGGTTGCTTTTGTCGCTGGTCTTCAAAGTGACCAAACCATCCTCTAGAAGTCACATTTTCATTTGCATTCTGTTGATTAGATTGCTCTTTTCCAAAACTTGATAACTTGGTATTGGCTGATTCAGCTTGGCTTTTACTCTTGGACTGTGCCATGACTTCTTTAAAGTCTACATACTCTGTATGAACACTCTTTTCTTGTATGGATATCAATGCTGAACCCTCAGATCTTGGACTTTCTTGTTCATCATAACTGCTGACAGCTTGTTTATTGGTTTGCATGGCCTTTTCATTGCATTTAGATTGCAATCTTGCATTCATTGCAGAAAACTCTGGTGCAATTAAAGTTGCAGCTGCAGCATAGCATGAATCTGTGCCTTTACTTTCTCCTTGGTAATGAATCCGCTATAAAAACCAGAGATTTAAAAAATTAATGCTAATTGGAGTAATTAAACTGAGGTTTGACAATAAGCTACCTAGACAGAGCTACATGTACTGTATACCTAGTGGTGAAAGAAGTATGATGAAGAAAAGGGTGAGAACGTTTCATTGGGGAACATTCAAATTCAAGTTTTATCTAAAACCCTGAAACRACCTCTTCAAAGTCTGGCAACTGGCTAACACATAGTTCAAATTAAAATTTAGCATGTTATTTAGAGGATGTAGACAGGGATGGAAACTGGAGAACCTACTGTAAAGGAAAAAACTGCCAATGTGATGCCAAGTCCAAGGTTCAAACCTAGGGTCCCATTGGTAAGAGGCAAGTGCACAATTATGCCAACCTTTATTCAGACACTACACTGTAAATTCAAACTTTACAAGATATTAACTTACATTTCTGTTCTCAAGGTTTAACAAGGTGCTATCAGTAGTTTGCGGAGCTGAAGAATCTTCAACAAACAGATTTAGTAGCCTTTGCTTCTTTTGGTATACCTGAGACAAATAAAATAAGACAAACACAGTAAATATATATATTTATCTATGCTTTATACARTGAGTCAGGAATCGATATTTCTAAGATTTGCACCTCACATATTATTTTGAGGCACATCAGCTAATCATGGATTTTAATGGAGTTTAAATCTTTTGAAAAACTAAATATTCCATCAATCACGAATCACACACATTTTGAAAAGCATCACAACAACCTGGAGTTCAGAAATCATGCTTTACATTTTACTGGTTTCACACACATATCTTAGCCCAAATCGTGTGTCACACAAAACCCCTGTGCCAATCCAGTGAGTAATATTACAGCCATTCTCAATCACATGCACCCTCCAGCGGTTTGTTCTGTCTCAATGAAGAAGATTTTGGTGGCCGTTAATCACAAGGCGTTGACATTCTATAAGCAAGTACCCTTATACAGTAGCTTTGTGTTTTCCGACAATGTTCGTCGCCACAGAAACAATTGCTAGAGTGGTGCGTGTGATCAAGAATGGCTGTAAACAGTCATCAAATGTTGCATATCAATAAAATACACCAACCTTTAGTGCTTCTTCTAGTTCTTCTATTAAAATTCAAGAATAGAAAGAAAACAATATAATTATCAGTTTTCTGTATGCAATATTTTGATACATGTAATTATGACCTGAGTCAGCAAAAAACTACTGCAGCTATGAAAAGCTTGTAAGAATTTTTATTTCACTGGTATATACTATCTTATCTTAATTTTCATATATGGTTATTTCTTATTTCAATGTTTTAAAGGATGCTTCTTCACTAAGGTGATTTTCAAGAAGGTCCTGTAAAATAAGGTACACTAGCTGAGAAAAATATCATCTCTTAACACATGAAATATTCAATAAAAATGTAGAGTATCTTTCCTCCAACACCAATATACTCATAGCAATATGTTTTTTTAGCAGCAGTTCATAAGTTGAGTCACCAAACATATTTATAGTGAATTTTACCATCTATTTCAAGTTTATTTTTCATATTCGTGACAGCTTGCAAAGCTACATACTGTGATTGGCATGCAAGTATGTACAGTAGTTGCAAGCAGTCACAACTATCATTACAATGTTCCATTGCAATCAATTGAAAATTGATTTAGGAACGGACCATTAGATTTTTGTTTTGGGGGTGGGGGTTGGGCAAATTTTGGGCACAGCTTTAAAGATTGAAAAACAAATCGTGCATAAGAAAAGTGCCAGAAAAAATTTCCAAATTATGTCCAAAAGATATTCCTGCAGAGCCATGAGGCRTAAAAAAATTCCTGCACAAAATAAATTGCCCAATCCCCCCCTCTCAAAAATCTAATGGTCCGTCCCTTATTTATTATTTAACCTTTTAGCTACTATTTTCTTGCGTTGGCCAAATGTGCTTACACCCCCAAACTTGCAATTTATTCTGGTTTAGAAAGATTTCAAGTTGCAGGGCTAGGGGTTATAAACATAATCAGAACATATTCTATAAATAAAACGTTTGTGAAACTAACCTTGGCTGCTGATCAGGACCTAGGAAGAGTTCAAACCAAACGAAAATTAGATAATCAAAAATTTGATATTGAATCTTATAAGGAAGCTAAGTCCGCTTACCAATTCGTTCTCGTCGTCACAATATTTTAAACGAAAATCTGTGCCAAGGTTGAAGAGAGTGGATATCTATCATAGTAAAACACGTATAAGAATCATTTCAGCTTATGAGTGTTAATTTTTTGACGAAGAAACAAAATCGAAAGCACGAGCAAAACAAAGAAAACATTTCGTGTTTACTTACTTTACTAGACAGTGTTTCCCAAGTTATGCCCGAATGGATCCCAAAACGACGACTTGTCCCCTTGAATTTGGCCTTAACTTTCACTTCACTGTCCATCCTGGTCACTTTATCAAGTACTAAAAGTACTAACCTTTTAGTTTTAGTCGAAGAGATTTGTCATATAAAAGTAGAATATACTGAGCAAACGAAATTTAACCGTTGCAACTCAGCACTTTTACCTGCCTGCGCAACGACATTCCCAGAATGCTTCGGTAGTTATTCACAGAAATATAAAGCTATGACGTAAGGTCTTAAATTAATTCCATCCACAGGAACCCCATCGTGTGAACATCGTGTGTATTGTGTCATACTCCTCAGAAGTCGAATTTAGAACTCGATCCAAGCACGTAGTACACTCTATCATTCTCAAAATTTAGTTTAGTTTTGAATCAGCACTAAAGTATATTCGTATTCAGCCATATATATGCTTATCAGTCAATGTCGTTTAATTCTTGCGATCATCACAAGTTTATATTAAGACGGCGTCATGTGGGAGAAACAATCGAATGAAATGACGTATCGGTATGAGTCAATGTTATTTAATGATTGCGGATTAACACAAGTCCCAAGTTCTTGAGCTAATGGGAAGACGTTAATTTTAAAAGAATACTATTTTCATTATTTTCTATAATTACTTTCTTTACTGTAGTTTTGATCGGGGGGGGGGGGGGGGGG